CAGACCACTGAAGACCACCCCCCCCAACACACCCCCGACTTGTACTCTGGGTATGGTTATTCAGCTGTTGGTGAGCCAACCCAGCCAGCCCATCATTTCCTGAAGCTGGCCCTCAGAGGAATCACAGCCAACCTTGTGGAACTTGGATGTCTGCAGCCTGATTCACAAACCCAGGGCCCTGGCAAATAACACAAATGAATGAAGTGCTAATTAATTTGAGCAGTTAATAAATAATCCCTGACTCCTGGTCTTGGTTTAAAGGAAGCGATGTGAATAATGCGACTGGGCGTGAGCTGGAGAAGTAGTCAGTGCTCAGTTGTAGACAAAGTTGCCAGACAGGAGTGTGGGCCTTCAAGAGTATCTGGGCTTCTTGTAAAATTTGATTTTTTTTTTTCCCCCAAACAAAAACCAAACAAAACAGACTGTGGCAGATTTGGCTTGCAGCCCTTGCATTTGTGACCTGTGACCTCCTCATCTCTTGGTCCGGTGACCACATAAAATAAGGCACTGATTACTTGGGTGTAGATGGATTGATGGCTGTCCTTGGACCTGACTCCTTGAGGTCCCTTCAGTTACCCACTCAGGACTCCAACCTGGACTGATCTCACCCAGTGTACTGAAAGTTGGGGATGACACTTGTTCTTTACTCACCTGTTGGTACCTTCTCCTGATGGCAAGTTTCTTCCAGGATCACTGGAAGAGTGTGTCAGTGGGCTCCCTTGGCTGAGAAAACTGAAATTTAGAGGCTCGTAAAGTGTTCCACCTATCTTTGCTTCACTTTACTCTTATCTATATCTACTCTTCCTTTTCTTTTTGGTCCAAAGAGTATTTTCCTTCCCCGGGAATTCATAGGCACAGGGGTGGGCCTAAATCTTCCTTGTTCTTATTCATACACCCAAAGTAACTTTTTAAAATTTTTTTAGTTGTTTTGACTACTTTGGAGAAGCCTCTGCTCCCTACAGCATTAGTTGTCCTGACACTGTTTCTGTAAATCCCTGCTAATCTCTCGTGTTTCTTCTTGGTTGTACATACTTCTTCTGTCTTTTATAGGTAAACATGTAAAATTTGATCACTTCAAATTTTGTAGCCTTTGCAACCACATTCAGTTCAGTTTAGTCACTCAGTCGTGTCCAACTCTTTGCGACCCCATGAACCGCAGCACACCCACCCTCCCTGTCCATCACCGACTCCCGGAGTTTACCCAAACTGACGTCCATTGAGTCAGTGATGCCATCCAACCATCTCATCCTCTGTCGTCCCCTTCTCCTCCTGCCCTCAGTCTTTCCCAGCATCAGCGTCTTTTCAAATGAGTCAGCTCTTCTCATCAGGTGGCCAAGTATTGGAGTTTCAGCTTCAGCATCAGAATATTCAGGACTGATTTCCTTTAGGATGTACTGGTTGGATCTCCTTGTAGTCCAAGGGATTCTCAAGAGTCTTCTCCAACACCACAATTCAAAAGCATCAATTCTTCGGTGCTCAGCTTGCTTTATAATCCAACTCTCACATCATGACCACTGGGAAAACCATAGTCTTGACTAGACAGACCTTTGTAGACAAAGTAGTGTCTCTGCTTTTCAATATGCTGTCTAGGTTGGTCATAACTTTCCTTCCAAGGAGTAAGTGTCTTTTAATTTCATGGCTGCAGTCACCATCTGCAGTGATTTTGGAGCCCAAGAAAATAAAGTCAGCCACTGTTTCCCCTTCTATTTGCCATGAAGTGATGGGACCAGATGCCATGATCTTAGTTTTCTGAATGTTGAGCTTTAAGCCAACTTTTTCACTCCTCTTTCACCTTCATCAAGAGGCTCTTTAGTTCTTCTTCACTTTCTGCCATAAGGCTGGTGTCATCTGCGTATCTGAGGTTATTGATATTTCTCCTGACAATCTTGATTCCAGCCTGTGCTTCCTCCAGCCCAGCGTTTCTCATGATGTACTCTGCATATAAGTTAATAAGCAGGGTGACTATATAGCCTTGATGTACTCCTTTTCCTATTTGGAACCAGTCTGTTCTTCCATGTCCAGTTCTAACTGTTGCTTCCTGACCTGCATACAGATTTCTCAAGAGGCAGGTCACATGGTCTGATATTCCCATCTCTTTTAGAATTTTCCACAGTTTATTGTGATCCACACAGTCAAAGGCTTTGGCATAGTCAATAAAGCAGAAATAGATGTTTTTCTGGAACTCTTTTGCTTTTTCGATGAGCCCACGGATGTTGGAAATTTGATCTCTGGTTCCTCTGCCTTTTCTAAAACCAGCTTGAACATCTGAAAGTTCACAGTTCATGTATTGCTGAAGCCTGGCTTGGAGAATTTTGAACATTACTTTACTAGCGTGTAAGATGAGTGCAATTGTGTAGTGGTTTGAGCATTCTTTGGCACTGCTTTCTTTGGGATTGGAGTGAAAACTGACTTTTTCCAGTCCTATGGCCACTGCCGAGTTTTCCAAATTTGCTGGCATATTGAGTTCAGCACTTTCACAGCATCATGTTTCAGAATTTGGAATAGCTCAACTGGAATTCCATCACCTCCACTAGCTTTGTTCGTAGTGATGCTTCCTAAGGACCATTTGATTTCACATTCTAGGATGTCTGGCTCTAGGTGAGTGATCACACCATCATGATTATCCAGGTCGCGAAGATCTTTTTTGTACAGTTCTTCTGTGTATTCTTGCCACCTCTTCTTAATATCTCTGCATCTGTTAACCCCATTAGTGTAGGGTTTAAAGTAGGAAGGAGGGGAGAACTGGGTGCTCAGCTGCATTTCTAGAGGAAAGGTATTTGTTCCTAGTTCTGAAAGATTGTCTTCCACCAGGGTCAGGGAAAGGTTGATGTATTCCATGGCCTATGGGCGTGTATGGTGAACAAGGCGGGAGGCACAGACATTATTAAGACTTGGCTCTTATCTTGAAGGAACTACCTACCATCTAGTTGGGGAAGGCAGCTACTTGGTGTGTGGTAAGTACTAATAGAAGCATGTATAAGTTACTGGGGGAACATCAGGAAGGGAGCACTCACTGGCCAGTCTTTGCTAGGTCAAAGAGGAGGTGACGTCAGGCTGATGCTTGAGGAAGAAGCCAAAGAGACCTCAGAGAGGCTGGGAATTAGAACTGCATGTGCAAAGCTCAGAAAAGCGTATTAGAAAAGCATGAAGGTCCCTTGTGGCCAGAACTGGGCAAATGACGAGAATGAGGTGGGAACCATTAGGCTGGGTCTTCTGCTTACCCCGCCAAAGGCCAGTCCCAATCCCAGCTTCCCACCGCCGCCTTGGAGCCCATGATGGCTCTGTTTGACCATCTAAGGACTCATATCATTTAACGTCTGCTCAATATACTTTATGTTCTACCTGGGGGACTAATTTGTTTAACTTTTTATTTTGATGGAATTTTAAAACTTACAGAAGAGATTAAAGAAGAGTACTTGGGGCTCCCATATACCCAGATTGTTTACATTTTACCTTACTTGCTTTATCATTTTGTCTGTGTGTGATATTTTAATATATGCATTTAATTTTTGACTGAGCCATTTGAGATTAAGTTGGAGATACCGTTCGTCCCTAAGTACTTCAGTGTGTATGTGTTCTAAGGACAAGGGCATTCTTTTATACAATCATAGTATAGTCATCTTGTCAAGAACACAGAGATTGCTATGACATGTTCTTATCCACATCCATGTTGAAATTTCATCCGGTGTCTCAGTCAGGTACTTCATAGCCGTGTTTCCCCAGTCCATGATCATGCATTTTGCTGTCCTGTCTTTTAGTCTCATGTCAGCTGGGAGAGGTGTTTGCTTTTCTTGCCTTTGAAATTTTTGGAGAGAACAACCCAGATGCTTTCTAGCCTGCCCTTTAGTCTCAATTCATCTGATGTTTCCGCATGATTAAGTTTAGGTTATATGTTCTGGTTGCAGGTCTGTGTGAGTATTATATCCTCCTCCTCAATGTAGCATGTCAAGAGGCACATGATGTTGGTTTATCACATGGTGATAACTTTGATCATTTGGTAAAAGTGGTGTCTGCCAGATTTCTAAGTTGCTATTGTAACTAAGTCATTTTTAGAGAGTTGTTTTGCCAAGCTTTCATCTGCTATTCGTAGCCTCCACTGATGAGTTTCCGTATCCTTCTCTGTTTTGTTTGCATTCTGCTGCAAGGAAGAGCTTTCCCTTCCAGTGGGGTGAAGTCACGCGAGCCCACTTCTGCCTCGTTGCCTTACCTTTAACTTGCTGGGCCGGACCCCGGCCCACTTCCTCTGTGTTCTCCCCCTTTGGTGTCCTTCGGGTGGACCTCAGCCGAACAACGGTGGTTCCTGGGATTGGGAAGAGGCTTGGATCTTCTTCCCAGCAAGAACTCGCTTGTCATTGGCGTGAATGGCTTGGTGTGGGGCTGTATGGGGGTGATCAGAGCTTCCTCAGGCCTGGGGCTAGGCTAGGAACGTCGTCCCGTCAGCCCCCTGTGCTCAGCCTGGACTGGAGTGAGGACAGTAACAGGCCAAGAAAAGAACGGGGGATTCCTTCCCACGAGAAGCCACGCTGGCCCCTTGTCCAGACTGCATTTGTTAGTCAGAGGTGCCCGTCCCCTGCCCGTCACGCACATGTCGCCCTGCTGGTGCGTTGTCACGTGGCTGCTCAGTTAGCTTTCTCGCCCTCTCGGCAGAAAGCAAAGCTTCTGGTGTCACTTTGGTCATCGTCGAAGACCTTTACGTGTGTCCTCGACAGATGCTTGGTTTCAGGGGCCTTTCCTCGGTGTGATCAGTATGAGACCCAGAAAGGACCTGAGCACATTTGGATGTCCACGTTAGGATCTGCTAGAGACCCGCTTCTGTGGTGCAGCCCGCCGGGAGAGGAGGTGTGGGGCGACGCGCTGGGCTCAGGGTCTGTCAGAGACAGGGCGGGCTGGCGGGAAGCAGGGCTAGGTGTGCCTGTCACTGGTGTGGCGCGGGACAGTGCTTTTCATGTGTCGTGGCTCACCTTCTTCCCTTTTCTTCCTCCTCCCCTCTCTCTCTCCAGACAGGCTCAGAGCTCAGCCCAGTTGATGGACCTGTTCCAGGTCAGATGGACTCAGGGCCAGTGTACCATGGGGACTCACGGCAGCTAAGCGCCTCAAGGGCGCCAGTCAATGGTGCTAGAGAACCTGCTGGGCCCAGCCTGCTGGGCGCCGGGAGTCCTTGGCAAGCAGACCAGAAGCCCGGCTGGGACACGGCCCCAGGACCAGCTCACACCGCTCGCCTGGAAGATGCCCACGACCTGGTGGCCTTTTCGGCTGTGGCCGAAGCTGTGTCCTCTTATGGAGCCCTTAGCACCCGGCTCTATGAAACCTTCAACCGTGAGATGAGTCGTGAGGCTGGGAACAACAGCAGGGGACCCAGGTCCGGGCCCGAGAGCTGCTCTGCCAGCAGTGAAGACCTTGACACGCTGCAGGCGGCGCTGGCCCTCGCGCGGCATGGCATGAAACCGCCCAATTGCAACTGCGACGGCCCGGAGTGCCCTGACTACCTCGAGTGGCTGGAGGGGAAGATCAAGTCTGTGGTCGTGGAGGGAGGCGAGGAGCGGCCTCGGCTCCCAGGGACTCTGCCTTCTGGGGACGCTGGCCTCCCGGCGCCCATCACTGGGCCACTCCTCAACGCCGAGGTCCCCCAGATACCTCCTCTGGAGGGCCTGCCCCTGTCCCAGAGTGCCCTGAGCATCGCCAAGGAGAAAAACATCAGCCTGCAGACCGCCATTGCCATTGAGGCCCTCACACAACTCTCCTCTGCGCTCCCCCAACCTTCTCATGCCACCTCCCAGGCTTCTTGCCCGCTTCCCGAGGCCTTGTCCCCTCCTGCCCCTTTCAGATCTCCCCAGTCCTACCTCCGGGCTCCCTCGTGGCCTGTGGGCCCTCCTGAAGAGCACCCGTCCTTTGCTCCTGACGGCGCTACCTTCCCTGCAGCAACTCCGAGAACAGAGTTTCCTGAGGCCTGGGGCACCGACACCCCACCGGCCACTCCCCAGAGCTCGTGGCCCATGCCTCGCCCAAGCCCTGACCCCATGGCTGAACTGGAGCAGTTACTGGGCAGTGCCAGCGATTACATCCAGTCAGTATTCAAGCGGCCCGAGGCCCTGCCCACCAAGCCCAAGGTCAAGGTTGAGGTGCCCTCGTCCTCCCCGTCCCCTGTTCTCCAGAGGGAGGCGCCCACCCCGTCCTCGGAGCCTGACACCCACCAGAAGGCCCAGACGGCCCTGCAGCAGCACCTCCACCATAAGCGCAGTCTCTTCCTGGAACAGGCCCACGACGCCTCCCGCCCGCCGCCCTCGGAGCTTGCTGCTTCTGGCTGGTGGGCGCCACCCAGCTCACCTGCCCCTCGGCCTTCCGACAGACCACCCAAGGAGAAGAAGAAGAAGCCCCTGGCACCGGCTGGAGGCCCCGTGGGAGCCGACAGAGCTGGCCCTGGGGTCAAGCCCGGTGTCCGGAAGCCCGTTCACATCAAGAAGTCCAGGCCGCGAGAAGCGCAGCCCCTCTTCCCGCCTCTGCGGCAGATCGTCCTGGAAGGACTGAGGCCCCCAGCCTCTGAGGACGTGCAGGCTCACCCACCTGCCCCCGTGCCCGCCTCACAGGGCTCTGTTGTCCCCCTGCCCCCAGAACCTTCTCTTGCGCTATTTGCACCTAGTCCCTCCGGGGACAGCCTGCTGGCCCCTACTCAGGAAATGAGGTCTCCCAGCCCCGTGGCAGCCCTGCACCCAGGCTCCACTGGCCCTCTTCCCCCTGCTGACGACAAGCTGGAAGAGCTCATCCGGCAGTTTGAGGCTGAATTTGGGGATAGCTTTGGGCTTCCTGGCCCCCCGTCTGTGCCCATTCAGGACGCTGAGAACCAGCCAACTTGTCTCCCAGCCCCCGAGAGCCCTTTTGCTGCCCGCTCTCCCAAGCAAATCAAGATCGAGTCTTCAGGGGCTGTGACTGTGCTCTCAACCACCTGCTTCCATTCAGAAGAGGGAGGCCAGGAGGCCACACCCACCAAGGCCGAGAACCCACTCACACCCACCCTCAGTGGCTTCCTGGAGTCGCCTCTCAAGTACCTGGACACGCCCACCAAGAGTCTGCTGGACACGCCCGCCAAGAGAGCCCAGGCCGAGTTCCCCACCTGTGACTGTGTGGGTAAGTCCTCCTGGCTGTCAGGGAAGGGCACGGGGATGAGGCCTGGTGGGCTTGGATTTCTGGGCTCTGACTTTGCTTTGAGAAACATCTGCTGTGTGCCGGCCCCCACACTGGGCCCTGTGGACACAGAAGTGAGCGTGCAGCCTAGTGGAGAAGAATCGAAGGAGACTGAACACGATGAGGGTGGGGTATCGTGTGTCAGTGGTGGCGCTCTGTTGTACAGGTTGAGGTGAAGGCATCGTGGAGGCCTTCCTGTGGGAGGTGGTGCTTGTGCTGAGGCCTGCAGGCCTGTCAGCTAGCAGGAGGATGTTCTGAGAAGCGGGAATAGCTTGGGCAACAGCTTGGTGGCTGTGACAGGGTAAGGCCTATTTAGGCGGCTCTTGGCCTGGGAAAGCGAAAGGGGAGGAGTCTGTGTGGGGATGAATGAAAGGCGGCTTGAGAAGCAGGCAGGGACCAGGTCTTGCATGCAGGGCCCAGGGAGCCACGCTTGGGAGTTTGGCTTGATTTTACTGGTAATATATAATGAGCTCCTGAGGGTTTTAAAGCAACAATCGTCAGCTTCTGCTTCTGAAAGACTATTCCAGCTTCTGGGGAGGAAGGATGGATGGGGGAGCCTGTAAGAAAAGTATTACTGTGAGCCAGGCAAGAAATAACAAGGGCCTGGACTGAAACAGTAGGTGGGGAGAGGCTGCAGAGTTAGTGACCTCTGAGGAGGGGGCCGTGGGGGTGTGGACAGCTCAGGTCTCTGGCTTGGTGTTAGTGGGCTGTGAGAACACACGTGTGGGGGAGTGATGAGTTCTGTTTGGACAGCCTGAGTTGAAGGGGCAGAGAGACTGTAGATCAGGCCCTGAGTTACATTTGGATGTAGTTAATTTCAGGCGATGGTTGAATCCATGGTGTGGATAAGAGCACTGAGGAATTGGGTCTGTTTCTGAGCCTTGCCTTCTGGAATAGAAGCAGGGCACCAGGCCTTTGGGTCGCTGCTCTGGGGGACTTCGCTGTCTCGGGGGAGGTCATGGATGCCTCAGGAAACTCCAGGTCCACTCTAGAATGTGGATCTCTGCTACTTCCTGAGCATTCTGTAAAAGATGTGCATGTGTCAGATGTTGGCCAAGAAACACATTGATACTGACGATGAGCATGTTCTATTGTTGTGATTTTATGATACACTAATAGATCTTATGAGAAGGCTGTCTTCTCTGCTTGTTTAAATATGCTAATGTTTGGTTAGTTTTGTGATTTGTTGGGCTGTTGTATCCCAGTTGGTAAGGAGAAGCTGGGCTGTCCTGCCTGCTCCAGCTATCCCAGACTCCTGGGGTACAAGACAGTGGGGCTGGTGACAAAGAATCTCTTGAGGAACAAGGAAAAGTTGGCCTCAGTGCTCCCATCCAGGGGTGAACAGAGGAGCAGTATCCTGCCAAAGGCTCACAAATGTGCTCTGAGATTGTGGTTTCCACTGAGGGCCAACCCTCTTCATTGTTGGGTCTAATAATGATGTGACTTTGAGGGCCCCTTATTTCCCAGCTTTTGGGGAGACTTGTTCCAATCATAGGAATTGGGGGTCCCTCCCTTTCTCTCTTCATGTTTGTAGATGTCTGGCCTGTCTTCCTTGTGTTTTGGGCCTCATTTGCTGTTTCTCCTCCTCCAGGGAAGGAGATATTTTTATATAGGACTGAGGACATAGTTGATCCATAATAAATATTTAATTGTGGAATTCAGTGATACAGATATTGGGATGAAATACTATGTTTGGTAAAGCTGATTTTTTTAAACTTGAATTTTAATCCCATCTTCCTCATGCCTGAAATGAAAGGGATAGTAGTACCCTGTCACTGGGGTTTATCTGAGCTTTAAATTAGTTAATATATGTAAAGCATTTAGGACTGTGTCTGGCATGTAAGAAGCACTGTAAGAGTGCTTAGCTGTTATCAAGCTGTTATCAAGTGCAAAACAGCAAGAAAAGGATGTAAAAACATATATATTATGAAGGAAGAAAAGTATTGGCTGTTACTTTATTCATCAGTGATTTATTGTTTACCTGGCCCAGTCCTGGTGACCAATAGGATAAAAATTAAGAGAAACGGTTTGCCTTCTAAGGACGTCTTGGTTTGCCTAAAGGGACAACGTAAACAGTGAAATGCCCAGTGGCCCAGTCGGTAGATATCACAGCCGAGTGCCTGTGCTGTTATATGGAAGTGGTTGAACTATCACAGTGCTCTGAAACACCAGGCCTGGTTGTCATCATGGAGGGTAGTGCGCTGCTTAGGAAACTACCTTTCGGAGCCAGGCTTTGGAAGCTGTGCTGAACATAGGTGGGGTGACATGAGAAGGTAGCCACGCTAGCCTGAGGAATTCATGAGCGTGGTTAAGGAGCAGGCTTGTAGGACCCGAGGCACCAGTTCACGGTGGACCTGAGCCCTCAGTGCGCCCCTGTGTTTCTTAGGCCAGAGGAGCCCCCCAGTGGATAGGACAAGATTCAGCTTGAAGCTCGTGGGCCAAAGCCCGGGCAGCAGAGTCAGCGTCAGAGAAACCCAGTGTGGCAATGGTGGCAACCTGTTGCCCGGCAGGGCTGGGGCGGGGCGGTGGCAGGGGCAGTGGGCAAGAGGTAAGAGGACCTCTACTCCAGTTTGTACGTTATTTACATGTAATACAGATAAAATATTTGTATGCTACCTAATGCTAAACAAAGAATTAGAACCAAACCCACCTTGTGTTGTTAAATGTTAAATTATGGAAAAATGCTAAAAATGAAAACAGCAGATGCAAAAAGTATTTAAATGATCAGCTCACCTAGGGTTAAAGAAAGAATACGGAGGGGACTTCCCTGGTGGTCAAGTGGCTAAGACTCCATGTTCCCAATTCAAGGGGCCTGGGTTCAGTCCCTGGTGAGGGAACTAGGTCCCACGTGCTGCAACTGAAGATCCTGCATGCCACAGTTAAGACCTCGCACAGTCAAATAAAATAAATATCTTTTAAAAAATAGAGAAAAGTTTAGGAAGAAATACATCAACAGTGGAATTAAAATTCAAGTTTAAAAAAATTAGCTTTACCAAACATGAGATCTCATCCCAATATCTGTATCATTGAATTCCACAATTAAAATATTTATTATGGATCAACTATGTCCTCAGCCCCATATAAGAATATTTCCTTCCCTGGAGGAGGAGAAACAGCAAATGAGGCCCTAAACACAAGGAAGACAGGCCAGACATCTACAAACATGAAGAGAGAAAGGGAGGGACCCCCAATTCCTATGATCAGAACAGATCTCCCCCAAAAGCTGGGAAATAAGGGGCCCTCAAAGTCACTTCTGTCAGACTGTGGGGGACTTTTCTCTCATTATATTTTCTGACTTTTCTCTAATGAAATATGTATTTTATAACCAAGAAATATTTTTGAAAATGCCACCTCCTAGAAGTGGCCCAGAAGATGGATTGGTGAAGAGTGATAACCTTGTGGCAGGAGACCAGTTAGGAAGCTGTTGGGAATAACAGTAAGAACTACAACAGCAGTAATAAGGTAGTATAGGAAAAGCTTGCTCTATTCCAGGCACTGTGCCAAGTTCTGCTTTGCAATGATTACCTCATTTAATCCTCTGTAACATCTATATGAAATAGATACTATCAGTAGTTCCATCATAATGATGTTTTTTCATTTCTTGATGTTTCCTGCTTTCTTGCAAAATTAGATTCAGTGACTTTTCCAAGTCAAAGAGCTAGCATGGTGGAAGTAAGATTTGAACCTAGGCAGGTGGAACACTGTGATTACTGTGATTAAAACTGTGTCACTGAGAAATAAGTCCAGCTAAAATAGTGGTGTTAGGGATGGAGAGGGCCGAAGAAGGAAGGATTCACTTGGAAACAGTTTCTGGAGGTGCTGAGGTTTTTGTTGAAGTCTGGACAGGTGGTTTGGCAGAATTCAGCTGGTGTGGGAGAATTTATCTCTGTGAACTCAAGCTTGGGACAAGGGTTAGGAATGAAGCTTGTTCACTCTGGGATTAATGTCAAATGGGAGCCATCTCATATTCCAGAAACTCAGCCTCTCAACAGTGGTATGTAGAAAGGTGCAGATTGCAGGAAGCACTTTCTGTAGAAGTGCCAGTGAAATTTGGGGATGCCATTAAGGTCTCATAACAGATGATTTACGTATGGGAACAACTTTATAAAAACATGAAAAGGTCTTAGAGCATAGCAACAGAAACCTAATGTTCAAGCTCCATGGTGATTTTTGCTGCATAAGAAACTTTGGCCAGTATGGGCACCACTAGGTAACCAGTAACCCAAGCACCAAGAGCATCATTTTGCACTTGTATGGAGATTACAGGTTTTCTGAAGGCATGGCTGGGATTCATCTCTACTTGTTCTCTGAATCTTGAAATACTGCAATTAAAGGCACCTCTTGGGGCTTCAAAAAAATAAAAGACATGGAAAGGAGATGCTTTACTCCAAAAGGTAATATGATATGTACAGACTTGGATAGACATGGCCCAAATTGAAGTTCTGTATTGAATTATTGGGAGGAGAGAATATTGACGCATTTGTAGTATTTGGGAGCACACACTGGAGACTCTTCTAACCACCAGTTAACCTTCCTGTGACAGTCTGTCAAAGGCAGGATGATGCACTGCAGTGACTGTTGACTAGGCCCTTTATGTATTTAATCTATTCTCAGAAATGGGGACATTCACAGGGAAACCAGCTTAGGACAGGGAATGAGTCCAGATGATGTTTTTGTGGGAAAAGCATTCTTTGAGATTATCTGCTCATCATTTTATAGGTAAGGAGGTATGTTAACTCTCACATCTTGTACCTGTGGAGCAGTCCACAGGTAGCTGGAGACATATAATGACGTTGAAAGCAGGAAATTCAGACAGATTTTAGAGGTTGTTTTCATAGGAATGCTGTGTTTTTGTTCAGTTGATCATCTTGCCCTAAAGTGATAGCCAAAGATCAATACAAGAAAAACATCTCCTTGTCTTCTTCCCTGGTGGCTTAGTGGTA